GGGACCAGAGCACCATGTCAGGTCTTAGGGTGGTGGTTGCGATCTCCGGAGGAAACGCAAGTTGCCGGCCAATGTCAGCTAGCATTTTCCAGTCGCGGGCCAAGCGCAGCTGGTCTCGCTCTATTGGTGTAGAGCCGCTCTTCGGTGGTTTAGCCCCTTCGCGGACAAAGGTCGTCCGTAAGGGGTGTGGTGCTGCTGGGGGTGGTAGGGAGTTGGTGGCAGCTCGCTTGTCCTCCAGGGCGGACGCAAGGTTTTTAAGGACTTGGTTGTGACGCCAAGTGTAGCGTCCTTGGGTGAGGCTTGTTTTACACCCTGTGAGAATGTGCCTAAGGTTGGCTGGCATGGAACAGAGGGCACAGTCCGGATCTTCACCATACCATTGGTGAAGATTAACTGGTGTTGGAAGGACGTCATATGTTGCTCTGATGGAAAAGCTCAACCGCCTCGCTTCCATGGCCCACAGATCCTTCCAGCTGATCTTCCTCTTCTCCACACTGTCCCATCGAGTCCACTGTCCCTGTTTGGCAAGAGAGACTGCCTTGGCCCACCTTGCAGCCTCCTCCTGATGGCGTACTTCCTGCACTACCATCTTCCGCCGCTCTGGTGCAGTGGCCTTACTCCAAGCAGCATGGCTAGTTAGCCCAAGGCCTCCTCTCCCTTGCTGAACATAACCCACAATGTCAGCATGTCTGAGGGCTGCTGTTGCCTCCTGGACTGATTTTCCTGGCTTCCATTGCGCCCAGTTGCCAAGGTCGGCGCGTTGTTGCTCACCACTGGGTCTCGAGATTCATTCAGTGTCATCTGGAGCCTGGTTTTTGCACACTTGAATTCCTCGGTTAGACTGGTGAGGGGCAGCTTGAGGACACCATCTCCATAGAGGCCTATGGTGGTAAGGCATCGTGGAACTCCGAGCCACTTCTTTAAGTAGCTCGTGACTCCTCTTTCCATCTTCTCCACTGTTGAGATTGGAACCTCATACACTGCTAGGGGCCACAACACCCGGGGTAGGAGACCAAACTGCAGACACCAGGCCTTTAACTTTCCAGGTTTCCGGGTGTTGTCGATGGACTGTAGGCTACTACTGATGTCTTTGTGCAGCTGTTGCACCTGGTCTTTGTCCTTCAGGCTTGCATCATACCACCTTCCAAGGCTTTTTACCGGCTGCTCAGACACTGTTGGGATTTGGTCATCTCCGATGAAGAATTTCAGGTCACAGAGTACTCCCTTCACAATCGAGATGCTGCGTGACTTGGATGGTTTAATCTTCATACGGGCCCAGCTGATGTTCTCCTCGAGTTTTCTGAGCAGTCTCCTGGTGCATGGGACAGTGGTGGTCAATGTTGTAATGTCGTCCATGTAGGCTCTGAGTGGAGGGAGGCGAAAACCAGAGTCGACTCGCTGTCCATCAGCAACCCATTTTGAGGATCTGATGATAACCTCCATTGCCATTATGAATGCCAATGGAGAAATGGTACATCCCGCCATTATACCTACATTCAGGCATTGCCATGAGGTGGTGAACTCTGAGGTGGTGAAGCAGAACTGCAGATCCTGAAAGTACGACTTCACCAGGGTTGTGATGGTGTCCGGTATGTGGAAAAATCTGAAGGCAGACCACAGGAGTTCATGGGGCACAGAGCCAAATGCATTGGCGAGGTCGAGGAAGACTACATGGAGGTCCCTTTTCTCCACCTTGGCCATTTGGATCTGGTGCCAGATCATGCTGGAATGTTCCAAGCAGCCAGAGAACCCTGATATTCCTGCCTTCTGTACAGATGTATCGACGTACGCATTCCTTTGCAGGTACTCGGCCATCCTCTGGGCAATGACCCTAAAGAAGATTTTACCCTCGACATTCGGTAAAGTCACGTAGGTAAAAATAAATAATAAAAATAAAATAATTGAAATAATAATAGAAATAAAATTATAAATCACGACGTTTCGGATGCAACACAAGTCTCCGTCATCAGGTGGGACCGTCACAGCTAAATTTACTGTATCAAGTGAGGCAAAATTCCACCTGATGACGGAGACTTGTGTTGCCTCCGAAACGTCGTGATTTATAATTTTATTTCTATTATTTATTTTTTACCTTCGTGACTTTACCGAAAAAAACCTAAGAGTATGAATCCTTGCAGTCACAAAAGCTTCAAATCCAGAAGAAACATGATAGTCGTGCAAAGTACAATAAAGGTAAACAAATCACCCAGACACATTCAAATACAATTAAACCATCTCCATCCTTCCAGGCAAAGCCAACTGAGGTTCTTAATAGTTAATGCATTTTTCTTGGATCTTTCGGTAAAGTCACGTAGAAGGGAAATAATACAATAATAAAAAAAATATTAAATTCTCACGACGTTTCGGCCACGACACAAGCAGCCGTCCTCAGGTGAAGAACAGAGCTGTCGCAAAGACAGCGTCCTAATGAACACCGCTAAGCTTGGCAGCGTATTTTAAGCTGAGTGCGAGGAGCAGAGCGCTTTGACAAAGGAGTTTACATATCAACAGAGGAATTTAGCATATTGACGCTAAAGAACTGCTACTACCATACAATAAACCGATGTGAAAAAAACTAGGTATAAACTACAATATATTTTGATTTAAAGCTTTCGTAACTGCAGGGATTCATATTCTTGGTTCTTTCGAATTTTCTTGCTGTGGATTTCACACCTGATGATGATTGCTTGTGTTGCAGTCGAAACGTCGTGAAAATGTAATTGTTGTATCTTTTATTATTTCCCTTCTACGTGACTTTACCGAAACAACCAATAATATAATCAATATACTCTCCAATATATATACTCAATATGCTCTCTTATTGGAGAGTATATTGATTATATTGATGTAGTTTATATTTTAGTTTTTTATCGGTTCACTATATGGTAGTCATTATATAGTGTAGTGTATACCCAGTTACTTAATGTTAATAGCTCAGCTTATTGGAGAGTATATTGAGTACATTGATTATGTTGATGTAGTTTATACCTAGTTTTTTCACATCGGTTTATTGAATGGTAGTAGGGTAGAAGCAGTTATTTAGCGTCAATACGCTAAATTCCTCTGTTGATATGTAAACTCCTTTGTCAAAGCGCTCTGCTCCTCCCACCCAGCTTAAAATACGCTGCCAAGCTTAGCGGTGTTCATTAGGACGCTGTCTTTGTGACAGCTCTGTTCTTCACCTGAGGACGGCTGCTTGTGTCGTGGCCGAAACGTCGTGAGAATTTGAGTTTTATTTTCATTATTTCCCTTCTACGTGACTTTACCGAAAGATCCAAGAATATGAATCCCTGCAGTCACGAAAGCTTTAAATCGAAAGTTAATGCATTGTAATTGTTTTTTACCCTTTAGTCTCACATGGTGTTGGACCAGATGACGGCTCTAAGAAAAGCTGTCTCGGGTGTGGACCAATCAATTTCAAGGACAGTGCATACATTATCAGAGTTGTGTTTTTTTGTTTGCATTCCGACCGCAGGTATTGTGGTCAATGTATACATGACTCCTTGTAAAAAAAGATGTCAGTTTTGTTGCCAGATAAAAGTGTAAAAACCAATGATCATATTTTGCTAGTGGGAAAGGAGGTTCCAATGGTGTTAATGCATTGTACTCGATAGCGAACATACGTGAAAGTGAAAAAGACTTTGCATGAATGCAGAGTACTTGACAATATTGGTCACATTCAAAGTACCGTACTTGATCGTGAACAGACGAGTACTTAATAGTGAATACACTCGTCAAGACCGACACTGGAGGAGGAGGAGGATGTATCCACAACTCTGTTGCCTGATGAAGCTGCTGCTGGTAGTTGTTGTAAGTTGCGGGCTACTTTGACTTGCATCCCACTGGCATTTTTGCACACAGCGTTGCTGTACGGTGCCTTTTCTGCAATATTTTGCTGTCTTCTTGGATTTTCTGTTTGCACAGTCACATAGTCACTTTAAGATGTTTTCTTGTTCATGTTTTTGTTTGTTGCGGTTGCACCCAATTCAAGAGCCGAATGGCTCACAGGGCTATACCAAAACACATTCCTGCGGAGGGAGCTGGTAGGAACGTTGGGTTGCTCGGTCAATGGCCAGGGTCAACCGCGGCGTGGTGTATTCCGCAAACATTCCAGACTGTGAGGGCGGGCACAAGCCGGCGTGAGTAGGTTAAACGTTGAGTTTTATAAGGGCACCACGGGGTGACCAGCCCCTCCCCACCCAGCCCCATCCCTCCCACCAGCCCCACCCTCCCCACCCAGCCCCTCCCCACCCTCCCCTCCCCACCCTCCCCACCCAGCCCCTCCCTGCACGACGGACACAATAATCCCCTGTGGGCTGGTGTAACCAGGAGGTTTCTACCAGTATAAATGAAACTGAAACTACTCGAATTGCAAATGTTGTAGTTGTGGGGTTTCATCTCCAACGTGACGAACCCTTCACTCATTGTCCTAGGCGGCGGCGGCGGTGTTGAACGACGCCTTCATACATCACGCGGCCAGAGCCACACAACAAGAACAACCTCTCTCCCCTCTCTCTCGTGGCGCGGACGCACACGGCGCAGTCGACTCAGTGCCACGGTGCCGCTACTACACAGGTATAAAATAAATAAAAATTGTATTTTATTTTAAAATAAAATAAATAATTTTATTTTATACATTACATTTTTATTTTATTTTATAAAATAAAATTTTAATTTATTTTATTTTCCACCTACGTGATTTTACCGAAAGAACCAAGGAGTATGGATTTCTGCAGTCACGAAAACTTCAGATCTAGACAAGACCACTCCAGTCGTTGCAAGACCCCACCGCGGTGACGTCGTTTGTGCGCTGGACGTCATCGCGTAGACGACGCGGTGACGTCACAGCGCACAAACGTCGTCACCGCGTAATAAAAAATGACGTCATCGCGTACAAAACAACGTCACTGCGTACAAATCGACGTTGCCGCGCAAAACTCTACGTCACCGCGGTGGGCGGGGCCCCGAGATGTGGGGGGGGGGGTGAAAGGGGGGGGGGGTCGACCCGGGCCATTCACGCGGCGGCCACACGAGGAGGCGGCGGCAGCAGCAGCGTGCGGCGGTGAGGAGAGGGGGCCACCACCACCACCATCATCATAAAGCCCGAGGGAGGAGCTCCAAGCGAGGCGAAACCGCCGCCCCCCCGACCCGCCACCTTCTCATCCTCTCCCCCTTGCGGACATCGCGCGCCGGGGGTTGAAATAAAAAGTATCGAAGACGACGACGACCACCACCACCACCAAGTGTGCGGGGCAACTCGGCACCCTGATCGCGAGCGCCTTTGTCTCACCCGCACGACGGAGGCTCATTGTTGCGATTCTTCTGCTCGTCACCACCACCACCACTACCAGTGTGGTACCCTCGCTCGGGTCTTTTTGTGTGTGTGTGTGTGTGGACGAGTGTATCGCTGATCACATCGCGCCCAGAGAGAGAGAGAGATAGCGAAGAGAGACCTCTGGTGACGTTACAGAGACCGATCTCTCTCAACGTTTCTGCTGCTGGTGGTGCTGGTTGTTGTGGTGGTTGTGGTTGTTGTTGCTGCGCAGTAGCGATGCAGGCCTCGCTACCGTCGGCCGCGCCGCCTTCTCGCCGCTGAAGCCGCCCTCCTTGGCGCCTCGCCGCGTGCGTGGCCCCCCCCCTCCCCGCGGGTCGTCGTGGCAGGAGGAGTCGGCTGCCCCCCAAAGCTGCTCGGGTCGCGACTTCGAATGGCGAACGCCGCTCCAAGTAGAAGCGACTGCGGCAGCGGAACGATGGTGGTGGTGGCATCACCACCAGCATCACCACCACCAGAATCACCACCACCATCAGCAGCATCACCACCACCATCAGCAACAGCATCACCACCACCAGCAGCATCACCAGCAGCATCACCAGCAGCATCACCACCAGCAGCAGTAGCAGCATCACCAGCACTCCAGGAGATGGAGGATGCATGCGTGTCCGAGCAGAGCGGAGACTCCTCAACCATCTCCGCTTCCATCACCTCATTCATCTCATCCTCGACCATCACCTCATCCATCCCGTCGACCGTCACCTCATCCATCCCGTCGACCGTCACCTCATCCATCCCGTCGACCGTCACCTCATCCATCCCATCCTCGACCATCACTTCATCCATCCCATCGACCATCACCTCGTCCATTACAATAACCATCACATCATCGTCCATCCCCACATCTTCCATCCCATCATCTAACTCCACGTCTTCCATCTCATCCACATCCATCACCACATCTTCCAGTCCAGCATACATCCCTTCCATCTCCACATCTTCCATCCCATCCTCATCTATCCCTTCATCCATTACCACTACTGACATTACATCCATCAATGCCTCTTCAATTCAGTCAAACATCATGTCTGTCCCATCATCCCTGACAACTTACATCCCATCTTCAAATGTCACCTCATCCATCACTTCCTCCGCTATCACCACATCGATCACCTCATCCATCCCAACAGACATCACCTCATCCATTGCTTTGTCATCCGTCCCATCATCTATCTCACCCATCCCGTCCTCATTCACTTCCTCATCCTGTACCTCACCATTCACCACCTCCTCCTCCCCCGACTTCATGGCGGATGACAGCGAGGACCCACTGGCCATGGCCGGTGGTGACGTGCCACGGGGCACCGACCCGGCCTGGTGCATGACCAAGAGCGGCCACATCAAGCGGCCCATGAACGCCTTCATGGTGTGGGCGCAGATGGAGCGTCGCAAGATCATGCAGACGGTGCCCGCGGCGCACAACGCCGACATCTCCAAGCTGCTGGGCCAGCGCTGGAAGGAGCTCGGCGCCAACGACAAGGCCCCGTACGTGTGCGAGGCGGAGCGCCTGCGTCGCAAGCACAACGCGGACTACCCCGACTACAAGTACCAGCCGCGCAAAAAGATGCCGGCCCTCATGCCACCGCCGAGGAAGCCCGATAATGGACCTCCGTGCGTCTTCACCATCATCGCCACTGGGCCGCCACAGCCCAGCACCACCGTGGCTACTGCCACTGCTGCTACCATCACCAGCGTGCAGCATCGGCAGCAGTTTTCTCTGGAACCGGAGGATAACAAGTTCGACTTGAAGATGCCGGTGCCCACTTTCCAGTTTTCGATGCAGAATATGTTTAAGGCAAAGGGACAGTTCGACGGCAACGTTGCTATGGCCAACCCAACCAAACTTTGGTTCGGTTCGCCCGCAGAACTTGGGCTCGTTAAGGTCTCTGCCTCCGGCGGGGTGCAACACAAAGTCATTTCGCAGGTACCGACTAGAGCGATGATCCCAGAGATGATCTTCACCGAGGTCCCTACGTTTTCCCGAATTTCGGGCAGATTCCCGGAGACCTCGTGCGTCCGAATGCTGCCACAGAGGGCCCCAATTGAGCGCCAGCATGTAGTATATCTCCCAGATTTCACGCTATCTCACGGCATTTCTGGGAAAATAATTACCAAGGTTGCTTCGGCCACCCTCGACTTCAGCGGCCAAAAGAGGCCTGCCACCACCATGATGATGCAGGGCCCCGCGTACCCCACGGTCTCGACCAGGTCTCTGGAGGCCCTTCTTCCTGGCCAGCAGCAACAGCAGCAGCAGCAGGAGGATGATGTTGATGTCACGGGGCCAGGTCACCCAGCCCTGTCTCCCACCGAGACACCGGTGCCGCCGCGGTCCGCGTCCCCCTCGTGCCTGTCCTTCTGCTCGTCGTCGTCGGGCGACGAGTTGTACATCGACATCCCGGACGAGGAGGAAGAGGAGATGGAGGAAGAAGCAGCGAACAGCGGCGGCGAAAGCGCCGGCGAAGCGCCCGTCAAGGAGGAGGACGTCGACGATGCCCCACGCCAGGCGACGCCACAGGGTTTCTCGTCCCTGGAAGAGCAGCAAGGTGGCTTCCCCGGCACCGCCGACTTTTACAGCTCTTCCTCGCCTCCCTCCATTAAGGTGGAGTTCCCGGACAAATCCGCGGAGGGGGGGGACCCCCCAGAAGGCCACCGGCTGCGCGCCCACAATCTCCTGGACGACTGCTTCATGCCGGAGGTGCACGTGAGTTGTATGGTGCTTGTGTGGTGGCAATGCTAAGCGGGTACTTCGGTGCGAAGGATCGTTTGGCACCTCCTGATTAGGCCCCCTGTTTGGCTACGTACGGTGCGAAAGAAGTTCAACATACGGCACACGCGAAGCCCGTGCATTTGCGTGATGTGCACATCCGTTGTCATTTTCATCGCGGGGCAGTGCACATTAACATGTGCTGTATCGGTGGCCTTCTGATACGGATCAAGTGTTCATTATTTGGTTTGACCGATGCGCCAGATCGTGGAAGCCAAACAGGGTAACGCATGTGTATGGGTGATCGCCATGCCGGAGAGACCAGACAGGTGTTGTATGCGATGTGTGCAGTAAAGGGCAGAGCAACACAATCCATTGTTATAGGCTGCTTTCACCAACCTGACCAGAGTGCAAGGGGCGGGGGGAGCCCGAATGGGCCGCCACGGTGGCTAGGAGATGTTAACTACTTCGCCTGATATACAGGAAGTCGTGTGTTCGATGCCGACCCTGACGGCTTTTTTATCTTTGGAGTTTGTGGTGTTTTTCTCCCCGTGGTCGCGTGGATTTTTCTTTGGTTCCTCCGGTTTTCCCTCCAAATTTAGAATGAACATCACGTGTTTAGAGTATTCGGCTGCTTTCCATTTCCACGTGATAAGCCACTTCGTTGAGCTATCATTTGTGGCTGGGCCGCTTCTGAAAAAGAGCTATGTAGCTCAGTGGGCCTTACCTGGTATAATGAAAAAAAAGTTTAGTAATATAGCAGTTCATTGACAAACGTGGTGTCCATGTACTGTGTATAAGAGAGATGAGAGGTGTTAGGGGAGAGAGAGCCCGATGGGTGACGTAAGGGTCATGTGGGAGGTGCCGGCATGGGCTCGAGGTGCAGACGTTTAATGAGAATAGACTTGTCAATCGAGGTGACTTCAGTTTTGGGCCACGTACTTGAAATGGGGAAACGCTACTACACGAGAATGGACAGTGAAGTCGGTTGTTTTTGGGGTCAATGGCAATGTTGGAGCTGGGCTTCATCGGCACAAACGTTTGCGGTCTGTTTTAGCTAGAAATAATTTCGTTAGGTGGAAGGAGTTTAACACGTAGTCGGAGGATTTCGCGACCAATATTATTCATTAGAGGTTGTTTTTGGGTTATAATCGCGTAAATATCAATGTGTCGTTAGACCCGCCACCACCCGACAGAGCCAATTAGTAAGATTTGTCACGTGAACAAGACGTGGCAATTACTACTTCAGCACGCCGGTTTGTTTGAGAGTAAACCAATAACATTTACAGTTTGAGTGTTGTGGCGTTTTTCTGGTAATTACAACCGCCTTCATCAGGCGGTTTGCATGAATTGTCTAGCGGTCTATCTTGTTCCGGCCTTAAATAGAGCAAATGTGATGGCATTTGGAAGGAGATGGAATATACATATCAGAACTGGTTATCGGTGAAGCATGGAGTTGATTTTGTCAGGGCTGAGGCGATAGATTGCCAACGTTCCAGCCTTGTGGCACACTGGAGCATAGGGGTTTCCTGGAGAGGAAATACCAGTAGTACGTATGTATATTGAACTTCTTTCGCGCCGTACGTAGCCAACATTGATAATAGAAACGTTGATGGAGAGCAGTATGACCGAGAGGACGTGTGTTTAGTTATGCAGACGTTCGAAAAGGATGGCATGTGTTTAATGGTGTCAATCAGGAGTCGGGGTGTATAGGAGTGAAGGCATCGACGATCGTAGGGGAACAAGTGATTGGCCAGCCTCGTGGACATCAATCGGTCTCGAAGCAGTCGGGCACCAGAAAGCCATTCCTGATTAGACTAACCTCCAAAAAATAGGAAGCAAATAGTTGACTGTGCAGCTGACGGTGAAGCAGAGAAGAAGCCAGGTTCTTGGAACTTTGGAGGGAGATTACATCGATTAATTGTACTAGCAGGTTCACATATCTGTTTAAAACCTTAAACTTTATGTACAGTCCATATGGGCACACTCACTCAATGTTTGATGTGCATTTGCTGGTTTAACAGTTCAGAGATACAGTTTGATTACAATGCTCACGAAAGAAATTTTCAGCACTGCAAACCGATGCTGGATTTGTGGCCTACCCTTGCCTTTAGGTAATGGGAGTTGTTTGACCATACTTCACCACACTAGGTCGTAATGGTTGGTGTGGGGGCCCCAGAACACATTTTAGATATATCACTTGCAATGTGCTAACCACTGCACCACCACTCCACCCATACTTGATCGACACTCAATCCTTCCTTGCAGTGGCTTGTAAATAATTCGGGCAAAACATGCAGTAATTATTTCACAGGAATAGCAGAACTATTTTATAAGCAGGATGCATGTAGACATGAGGATCGATTCCAAGTCAAATTATTGACTTGGATCAAAATAATGTCTTTGGGGTGATTTGTCTGGTTTACGTGCGGTTGTGATGAGTGTGGGAACGTGCTGCATTGTGTCATTTTTGCCGTGTGGGTTTTGCAGCGGGTGGTGAGTCTGGTGGACGTGAACAGCTTCATCACCTGTTACCTGTGTAAGGGATACCTAGTCGACGCAACCACCATCACCGAATGCCTCCACACCTGTGAGTATCTTCCATTGAAAGTCTTCCAACTAAGGTTGAAAGCATTATTGCATTAGTTATGTCGTTCTGTCTGTCCGTCGGTCTGCAGTGAGGTGTCGGGGTATGTATGTATGTTGAACTTCTTTCACACTGTATGTAATCGGAGGTGCGGGGGAAGGACTACAAAGTAAAGTATTATAGCGGGTTTTTTTTACACCAGGTAAGGCCCACTAAGCTATATGGCTCTTTTTCAGAAGTGACCTGGCCACAAATGATAGCTCAACGAAGTGGCTTATGTGGAAACTTACAGCGGCCAAATACTCTAACATCATGTATCTAAATGTGGAGGGAAAAACCGGTAGACCTGGAGAAAAATGTACTCGACCAGCCGGAGAACATGGAAACTTCAAATATACAGGCATCAGGGTCGGGATCGAACCCACGACCTCCTGCTTATCCGGCGAGGTAGTTAACATCTTGCCACCAACCTAAATACATAAAGCAGAGTTAACATTGGTGAAGTTATCCAATATAAATAACATTTTTGTGTAAAGTTTTGGTGTTTTAGGGAATTATTTTGTAAGAAACCAGCAAAAGTGATCGAAGGGGTTGCCCCAAATAGGGTAATGAAAATCAGAGATACATAATAAGGCTTTTAAACCAAGCTGATGATGTCAGAGGCTTGTACGTGTGATATCCTCAATGCTTCCATATGGCTTGCTCGTATCAGAATTATCTCTACCTCGTAAAGTAGATAAAAAGTTACACGAAGTTTTGGGTGAGTAATAGACGAAGCAATTTTTGCAAAGTGTAACTTTTAAGAAATTCATTTACAGCGTCGTAGTTGTATTGGCAGATAGTTGTGTGAACAGGTGAGATTTGCATGTATGTTTATTTTTCCCCGTAGTTGCACTTTAATGGCATTAAGCTCCCAGAGTGTTGTATGTTCGAATTAGCCACCGCCAAGAAGCCAGAACCAGTGGTGATTCATAAATTCGTTTCCACATTGCAGCTTTGTTCTTCAAATGTCACTTGCGTCTACACCCTTGGAAGACGATATTTTTATAACGTCTTCCAGTATGCAGTTCTGCACGCGTGCCATCACACACGATATGTCTGTGATCTCGTGGAAAGGCCGGCTCCAAGGCCATTGCGTGCTTCATTGCAATATTTGCCAAAATTGCACTGATCGTGCTACTTGGTGGTTGTGCTGTCCAGCTCTCAGATGTGTTTTTTGGTGTCGTGCTGCGTGTTCACCATGATGTCCGACGTTTCGCTCTACGTGCTGGAAGCTTTTTTGGGAACTGACGCTGCCGGCGAGATGTCGGACGTCATGTCAGACTACGCGGGGCACAACCATAAAATACAATGGGGATGGGGGCTGTGCTGACATGATCATTAAAAGTCTCTACTTTTTGAAATCTAATTGCAAGGTTCTAATTAATTTAGTAAAATTTTAAACTGTTGCTTGTAACATTGGCCGAGACTGACTTGGTTGCATACTGATTTTAGCACCTCGACTGTGTTTCTTCCTGCTACTAAAGTAGATATTCATTAAAAAAATGTATTTTATGTTGAATATTCTTTGGTTCTTTCGGTAAAGTCACGTAGATATAAAAATAAAAATAAAGTGAGTAAAAGTTTTACAAATAAAACAAAAACCACGACGTTTCGATCACAACACAAGCGATCGTCGTCCTCCTCCTGAAGACGATCGCTTGTGTTGTGATCGAAACGTTGTGGTTTTTATTTTATTTTAATTTGTATTCACTTTTTTTCTATGTACGTGACTTTACCGAAAGAACCAAAGAATACGAATTCCTGCAGTCACGAAAGTTTTAAGTCAAAATTTACGTTGAATGTTTTTGGTACCAGTTTATAACAAGGCTACGTTAAAACACTAACTTGAGTATTTTTGCCCGTTCTAATTAATTTTAATTCTGTGTTTTCTTATGTACTTTTCAAAATAATAGTTTGCAAGAGCTGCATCGTGAAGCACTTTGACTACAGCAATAGGTGCCCGCAGTGCAACGTGGTGGTGCATCAGACTCAGCCACTCTACAACATCAGGTGCGTATCTGGGGTGCCACGGTGGCTCGGAGATGTCAACTACCTCGATTGGTACACAGGAGGTCGTGGGTTCGATCGTGAACCTAACTCCTGTATATTTGCAGTCTGTGTGACTATCCCTGTGGTCGTGTGGATTTTTCTCCCGGTCCGCCGGTTTTGCCCTTTCACATTTAGAAACGTGTGCGTAGTCGGACGTCTTTGTGCTATGAACACTTCCTTAAAAGACACATTAAGATGGGCAATATCAATGTGAACACATGGGAGGACATGTTTGCCAACCGTAAATAGTGGGAGAAGTGCTGTAGCCGACTCGTTCAAGAGGGTTGAAGAAAAAAGGGAAAAAACCTCTCAGCATCGACACCAGCAATGGCACAACACAGATGCCATTTGGCAGTCGAGCAACTCTTGCGCACAGTGCAGCCGATGCTTCTGCTCAAGAGCTGGCCTCTCATCTCACCAGCGCGCAGGAAAATGCTAGTTCTCCGCAGTAATCAACGTTCACGATGGACAGCCGAAGAAAGTAGGGTATTTGGCTGCTCTAGATTTCCACATGACGTGCCATTTCGTTGAGCTGTCATTTGTGATAGTCAGGTCGTTTCTGAAAAAGATGTCTAGCTCAGCGGGCCTTACCTGGTGGAATAAAACAATTTTAGTTTAATTTAATCTGTGCTGCTCAACAGAGTAGGCAATGAGAGGACCTTTACTCAACACTTATTGGTTGGCCCCTTTTGGGCCATTTGTCAAAGCCTAATAAGATGACATTTTACACGTAAAGTTTAAATGTAATTCAGGCATTTTGGATAACTGTAAGCATTCGTGATACTGCAACGCATTGTCGTGAGACTATCATCCTTGCCTCATTGTCAATCCAGCAGTTTTCATCTGAGTCTGTTTAGGCAACTTTTATAATCCAGATAACCCATTTCCTGTTGTTGGAGTTATTGTGGATCTTTTTTCAACTCACATTCCATCACAATAGAAGCACTGTGGCCCTTGAAGCTTTCACTTTGAGTCGTGTTAGTTTTTGTGAAGCTGCAGCTATGAATTTGGATTATGCACACTGCAATGGGCGTATGAGCACTCGCACTACTGTACAGTGTCAGTTGGGTGGGACAGGGGAGAGGGAGAATGGAGGCACCGTGTCAGTGTGCTGGATCTATTTATCCCTGTGGCTATTGCACAAACAATGCAAACTCTTGACCGTTTTCAACTGGACTCAGTTTGATCAGCATGGGGGTGGCCTGCATCTCTTGCGAATAGAAGTACGTCATATACTGTGGATGTATGACATACTGAGAACAGAATATGCACATACTTACTGCCCACCATATATATGTACGCTTGCTGTATATTATCTCATGTCCGCACCAGCTTCAAACTGCCCATTCCCTCTCTTTACCACCGTTCCAGTCCTTGACTACCACATTTAGATAAGCCCCTCCCCCCTCCCCTTAACTTGTATTTAAGAGCTTGTCTCTTGGATTTCTCCTCACTTGATACAGTAAATTTAGCTGTGACAGTCCCACCTGAAGACAGAGATTTGTGTTGCCTCCGAAACGTCGTGATTTAATTGATGCATTTTCTTTTAGTATTATTTTATTACTTATTATTTTTTTCCTACGTGACTTTACCGACAAAACCTAAGAGTATAAATCCTTGCCATCACGAAAGCTTCAAATCTAGAATTAGCAGTGTCCATTAGGACGCTGTCTTTCCGACAGCTCTGTTCTTCACCTGAGGACGGCTGCTTGTGTTGTGGCCAGAACGTCGTGAGAATTTTGGAATGTTTTATTTTTATTATTTTATTATTTCCCTTCTACGTGACTTTACCGAAAGATCCAAGAATATGAATCCCTGCAGTCACGAAAGCTTTAAATCGAAAGTTAACGCATTGTGCTCGATAGCGAATGTACGTGAAAGTGAAAAAACTTTGCATGAATGTAGACTACTTGACAATATTGGTCACATTCAAAGTACCGTACTTGATCGTGAACAGACGAGTACTTATACTGGTAGGAACCTCCTGGTTACACCACCCCAAAGGGGATTATTGTGTCTGTCTGTCGTGCAGGGAGGAGCTGGGTGGGGAGGGGAGGGTGGGGCTGGGTGGGGAGGGGTGGGAGGGGCTGGATGGGGAGGGGCTGGTCACCCCGTGTTGCCCTTATAAAACTCAACGTTTAACTTACTCACGCCAGCTTGTGCCCGCCCTCAGCCGGGAATATTTGCGGAATACACCACGCCGCCGTTGACCCTGGCCATTGACCGAGCAACCCAACGTTCCTACCAGCTCCCTCTGCAGGAATGTGTTAAGTGATTCCCCTCAAACCTGTGAGACAAGCTGTAGGCTTTCTGCTGTCTGAAGTTACCTGTACGAGTACAGTGTTTGACTGTTTCACCCTCGTATATAACGTAAATGCTATTGCCCAAAATTTGGTAGCCAGTCTCTCCTGAAGTGGGAGTCATAGTGTCTGACTTGGTGGGTGAGTATCTGTTGCTATTCCTATTAATTAACACTGGATATAAAGAACCGTATGGAAAACTCAATCCCTTTATAATTTTGTTATTCACTCAAATGGTATTCCAATCGCCGGCGGCATATGTTTAAGAGACAATATCCAATCGGATATCTCACAGAGCAGTTCAACCCTTTGTGTGAGTAAAAAGGGCCCATGACGAATTAAGTCCAGAACCTGATTTTATGTAACGCTTTGCTTTTGTGCAGTTGTTGGTGACTGAGTTGAGAACATAAACTCACTGCACTGAAGAAGCCGGTTTAATAACATGCGGCTGAAGCCTGACTTCAAATCCTGGATCTCAGTGGTGTCAGCTCACTGTTGTCACCTCTGAGCCACGTGGTTGCTTCCAATCCCCTCTATTTAAAAATGCTGTTCATAGCAAATATTTCGAGCAAATATACCAACGTAAAAACATAAGTTTATCTTGTCTGATTAAAAAAAAAAATTGTAGAAATCAGATAATTTCTTTTTACAATTTGTCATTGGTCTACTCCTCCTACCTCATGGTATGTGAAGAATTACTGTTCGATACTTCCAAGCCACAATGGATTCCTTTTTGTACCTATACAGAAATAACTCATTGTAATTAAACGTGTATCCTAATCTATATGTATGCCTGCATTAGTTTAGTTTTGACGAACATTCCATCTTGATTAAGTTTATATTTTACTGTGACTTTTATTAATTTTAAGACTAGTCGGTTGACAGAGGACATGTGTGCCTTATAGGCCATGCATTCTGTTTAAATTATTAATCTCTCTTAATGGGTACATTGAACAAAAACATTGTCTACATCTTTAAATGTTTTATGTGGTTGTTGAATATGCACGATCATCATTGCCTCTTGTCGCTCATCCTTGCCTTTAAAGTGAGAGTTTTTGCATCCAGCTTGGATTGTTCAGATAGGTAACGCATATCTGACATTACTAGTTGGTTCTTTCGGTAAAGTCACGTAGAAAGAATATAAATTAAGTAATAGAGTACGACGTTTCGATTGCAACACAAGCAACCTTCATCAGGTAGAACTAAATTTGAGAGAGAGACAAAACACAGACACGGAGACATATAATATCTGACATGTTGAGTTATTTAGTGGAAAATGGCAGGAAAGTAACTTGGTACACAAACTCATTAAGCGTTGCCATGGAGTATTATAGGTGAAAGCAAATATAAGCAGAGAACTCCATTCTTTGTCCCAGCGAAAAGAGATTTTTAGTCGGTCAATTAGCTTTCCAGACGGATATTAAAAAACAGCGAGCATATTCTTGTCTCATCGGCAGAGAGTGGGTGGGAGACAGTAGCACACCTCACCTTTTCCTTGTTTTCATGTCACCTTAAACACAACTAATATTGTCATCGAGGAAGAATGGACATCGTTAATTTGAATGAAGATGTGATCAGTTGAGCTAAATGCAAAAAAATGCCCTGATTAAGGGCCACAAATTGATGCGGACGAGGCCTTCTAGTATTCCAACTACATTTGGAAGGACTCTGCGAGACTTAAATGCGACTTCCTGGCCAGAAACCTGAAGGAAATTAACACTGACGTCATCACTTTAAAGGAGACGTACATTGAAGACAGCACTCGAACGGCGAGTTACAAAATAAATGGATATATCCTTGTTTGTTGCCATCTACCACCCTAGACATGGCCTCGACACATTCATCAGGCGAGGCCTAAAGATCTATGCTTTCAAATACACAGACAAAGTACCCCCTGTATAGCCTGAACAGGGGGTTGGCGGCCAACACCATGCCCTGCCGCCTTTGTCTCCCTAGTGGCGATGTTTAGATACCGCACCAGGTACTCATTTGAGGCCGAGTCGACGTAGTACACCACCACAAGCAAGGTCACATTGATGAAAACCGAGGCAGTTGGTAATGTGACCATCATCAACTTGTATAAACTCCTGAATAAGGAATGGCCATCATCACCTCTGCCAGAAGCCGCTCACCCGGCTTATACATGACCTTAAACAGCCGGACACATTTCATTTGGACCGATGGAAAAAAATACTCCATCCCAATCTTTATGGCTCAACTCGCAGGACAAGAATGCACAGCCGCATAATTGCTCTGGGGAATTTTCTGAAGAGCCAAGAAATATGAGCAGTCACTAACGTTGGATTACTGTTGCTGGTCATAACCTCAAAACCACAGCCACTTTTGGGGGCCTTCAGTCTGCCAATTGGTCCAACTGAGAAAAATAAACCGAAACCCAAATGAAGAACCGGGAGCCAAAGCCTAAACATTTTTTACATTCAATCATTAAAATTGTCACATTTATTGAGCAAAAAGAATAACATCCCAAGTTGTATTGGAATAGCCACACACCATCTTGGCAACCAAAAAGAGAACAATTCTTGCAAAAGTTCACGATAACTAGTGCCCAAGACGAGAGGACCTCACTGCTAGCATCCCTGAATTCTGCACAAAGAAAACGTTGGGAAGATTGTCACGACAAAACCTGGCAGCTCCTCCAGAACCAAGAAGCCTCAACTAACGGGGCACAGGTCATGAAAAACCACAGTAATCGCTGTGGCCTCCCTTACGCTTTCCTGCTCAAAGGCACCCAGTGGACATAGCGCGCCAAACAAGATATCCAGAAACAACTTTCCATTGCCTTTAGCCGATTCTCAAAAGCGACAGATCTAACTAGTTCATGCACTGTCACTAAAGTGGAAATGGCCCTCAAAGGCCACAAAATCCCAATAGGCACTAGAATATGATGACCTGCATCCCAGGTTCCTTAAGAACCTGGGACTGTATGGACAATAATGGCTTGTAAATGTCTCTGCGCAGGTTAGGTAAAATCCAGAAAGCATGGAAGCAAGCAAAGTCAATGCCATGAAACCCAGAAAAACGCAAGACTCGCCCTCCAGCTACAGGCCCATGTCCCTCCAGCTGCAGACCAATATCACTCCAGCTACAGGCCAATATCGCCATGCTACAGAAACGTGCAGGAACGACTGATTTTCTGTGAACTGCAGCCTTATCGTGATATCTACGCGGTAGCAGAGTACTGCGCTCCAGCCTGGTCTAGGAGCTTATACATAAACCTGCTAGATACAAAATTTAATAACAAGATGTGCATCGTAACCAGAACTCTGAAACCGACACCAAAACCTTGGCGAGGACATTCTGCCGCCAAATATCCGCAGGTTGCACGTTTTCTTGTCATTGACAACCTTGCACATCAACGAAGACCTCAACAGCACCACTCCACCGACTAAAGTTCCAATCCCGCTTCTGGGATCGCCCTGCCGTCGCCAATCTAGAATTTCACCCAGATCCGGAAGAACGTTGGAAAACAAAGTGAAGCAATGCGCAAGTCCGGAATAATCACCTAATTTGAGACCCAAACATCGCACCACCTGGTTTTGACGCTTCTCGAAGACACCGCTGGTGGAACCATCAACCGCATCGTAACATCAGCAGGCTGATGACCACATCTCCTTCATACCTGGGAATTTAAAGACACAGCCACAGTGCGCTTATGGCCATGCAACCCAAACTATGGATCAGACACATTTATTTTCTCTTGCGTATCTGTCTGTGGAGGGTTGTTTTCCTCTTCCTTTTAATCTTAAGGATATTTTTTTACTGGGATTGTGTTGTAAAGCCCTGTGACGCCTCTTGTGTGAATGGCACTATATAAAACTGGGTTTTACTTACCTATAGTAAACCACTGTAGTCTTTGCTTCAATGGAGGAATAGAAAAACTCCACAGATTCACTCCTGAAGCCCGCTCATGAATATCAGACTGAAAAATTGGCATTTAAATACTGGACATATTGCCACATGCCAGAATACAATCAGCAGTCTGGCGTGTTATATACAAAATGCCGCTGAATTACCAGATGCTATTGGCTACAGCAGTCCATGTAAAATATGAACCCCGGTTCAGCCCATTTTTAAAATCAATATACAACTTGGACATTGTGCACTTTGCAATTAATACAAATAATTATCAAGCTTGTTTTCACTAGTCTTGTAACTAGTGCATTGTAGTTGTGGAAAGCAGGATAGGTAAACATAGGTAACATGTTTGTAATCTTTAAGTGCTATGTGACTTTAACTTAATGATTTATGTGTTGATTATACTTTGATGACCTCAATGGTGCACCTTTTATTGCTTTCTGTCACAGGTCGGATGGAACTATGCAGGATATCGTGTACAAGTTGGTGCCGAATCTGGAAGAAAGTAAGTGTGCGTGTGTTACAAGAAATGACTATGCAGAGTAATTCTTTGGAAATTTGTTTTAATTTGCCCGAGACTCATTTTACATGTGGCTATAGGGTTACTTCGTAGAACAGTTGTTTTTTTACTTAAACTTTTTTCAATTTCAAAGTATTCCTAGTAAATCTTGACTTAAAGCTTTCGTGACTGCAGGAATTCATATTCTTTGGGTCTTTCGGTAAAGCCACGTCGATAAGTTGAAAGAAAATAACAAAAAAAGAACAAAAACGACGACGTTTCGATCACAACACAAGCGATCGAAACGTCGTAGTTGTTTTTTGTTATTTTCTTTCAACCTATCTACGTGACTTTACCGAAAGACCCAAAGAATATGTATTCCTCGTAAGTCTAATACTTTGTTTTGGCATACAAATTATAATTGCTATATAGTTATGTAATAAAAATTTATTCTTTTGATATTTGGCTTGTGGCTGCTTAAGAAACCGCTGCGGTTTGAATTTTGTCTTGGCATTTGCAGGCTGATAGCCACATCGCATAAAACACGTCCCGCTTTATATATTTCACCCACAAGCTGGGTGGCTCATAACTCAGAGGGCTGAGCTGGCACCACTAGGATCCTGGGTTTTCGAACCAAGCCACTGCCGGTGACACACTGCCGGTGATTAAAAAGAGGCGCTTAAGAATCTCGAGTTGATGGTCACAGCCCGGTCACCCAAATGCTTGCACAAAAAAATCACGGCGCTAAATTTGGTTGCCCTTTTAGTTCATTCATCAACGTGGCGAACATTACTCGCAGTGGCAGGCCGATTGAGAAAGCGCTGCCCCTCCTAACTTGTGGAGCAGTGGTCCTCTCAAAAGGAATTTGGTGACATCCGCTACCGTGGGCCGTGCTGCGCGAGTGATCTGCACGGATAATTAATCTCTTCACGTGACATCGATAGCACAATTTGGATGAAATGATGGAAAAGGACAAAAAACAGGGGGAGGTTTACATTCTTTTTAGCCCTGCGGTTTCTCGAAAGGATGCGACAGCGGTCTCACATGCCCCTGGATGTGCTAAGAAGGTCGTGCCGTCTGCTTTTCAGATGAGAAGCGGAGCATGAGAGATTTTTATCTTTCAAGGGGATTGGAGCTTCCAAAACCAGGTAACTGTCATCTGCTCATTCCTTCCTGCTTAGTTTAGTTGAAGTGCTTACAAGAAAACAGCCATTGTTTGCAGGTAACGGTAATCAGTAATGTGTAATTAGCGATCCTGTTCCAAGCTTTAATTGATGTACAGTTAGCATTGTACCTTTGTATGTTGAACTTCTTTCACACCTTACGTATCCAGCCGGAGGTGCATTGCAGGACAATTGGGGGATAATTGCCTATTAATTTAATCTCACCATCTATGGACTGCATGTAGGACTAGTTAAGTACATCTTTAACCTATAAAAGGTATTTTTTTATTTGTCTGTCTGTCTGCGTGTGACCGACACTTGCGAGGGATTCGGCTCACGAACCGTGGGGTTTAAGTTTAAAAAAAGTACCCAGGTAGCACGGCGCTATTCTGATTTAACGTCCATCACCTTTAAAGTAATTTCATTAGCGATTTAGTGCTGTTTTTTGTTATTTATCTATTCCGTTGCGCCTCCGAGCGCGTGCCAAAGCACGCATCTGCGCCTGCGAGTCCCTCGCGGTGGGGGGGGGGGGGGGAGTGGCATTCTCGTTAAAAATGCAACAAAAAATACGCACAAGACTGAGGTATATTCTTCAAAGTGTGATGTCCTCTTCTCCCCCCCACCCTAATGTGTGCAATTACTACTATGTGGTCAGTAGATACTAATATTATAGAGCTTACGTACTATTACTGTAGAGCGGGCGGCAGAATGGTTTGGGGGGGGTAGCGGCCCAGCCCCAGCCTGCCAAGGTGCCATCTCGGCTGGCTGGGCAATCTAGACGAAAACTAATATTAAAAAATTAATGTGTGTGTGTAAGTCGATGTGTGTGTGTAAGTAAAAATACAAAAAATATTGCGTGTACGTATAAGTCGGTGTGTGTGTGTGTGTACATCGATGTGTGTGTGTGTAAGTCGATGTGTGTGTAAGTCGATGTGTGTGTAAGTCGATGTGTAAGTCGATGTGTGTGTAAGTTGATGTGTGTGTGTGTGTAAGTCGATGTATGTGTGTGTACGTCGATTTGTGTGTGTACGTCGATGTGTGAGTCTCTGTGTGTGTGTACACATCGATGTGTGTGTTTGAGTCCACGTGTGTGTCTTTTTCGCCCGGGCAACGCCGGGTACTTGCCGCTAGTCCTCAATAAACGCTTCCCTTTACACAAACAACAGCTTTGAGGCTTGATAAGATACCTCTAAGATGCTCTGTATGCAGAGAGCTATCTAAAGCAAATTGTATATTAATAAACATGTATTAATAAACACATATTTGCATATTGAAACAGCCGTGTAGTACACAAACCTACATTCGCGTACACTCAAAATCACATAATAGTGCACATAGAAACACAAAGATCTGTCGTGTAGCCTTTAACAGACTGTTCGGGAAAGTGCTGTTCGTGAGCACTTATGAAGGCAGGCACAGCACATAAGGGGGTGGGTGGGTGTCAAGCACCACGCCTGGCCGCATTTGTCTTCCCAGTACTGATACGCCTCAAAAGATACTACATTTATGGCTAAGTCGACCTAGGGGAGGCCCACGACCAGTTAAGATATTCGTCACCGATGTTGGTTGCGAGTGGGCGAATCTAGGTCCCGGGGTTTATAGCAGCACAGTGCCACAGTGCACTCACCACTGCTCCCCAGAAACACACGTGCACACTCACACAAACACACTCAAGAGGTTGTCATGGTGAACCGCATTGCTCTTACCACACCTGGTCATTGCTTATCTTATTTACCCACACATTGCAGTCAGCGTGAGTCACCGGCTGCTGCTCTCTTCCTAATCACCCATCCTGCCCCCCTCTGTATTGTTACTGTGCCAACCCCCCACACTTCACATCCTCTCTTGCCTTATCACGTGCACCCTCACACATTGCCTGGCTCCAGGGCTGGGACGATCAATCGGTTAAGTCCATGAATTGACTACAAATCGAAGGTGCCAATGGGGTCATCAGGCCTCGCCCATCGCCCCCTTGTCCAGCGTCACACACAAAGTTCTTGCCGCAAGTGAACCACAACACCTTGCTGATCTCGTCAAGGAGCATAAACCATAATCACGTGAACTCCGGTCATCCTCGCAGCGGCTTTTGGCTAGACATCGAACAAAGATGGTCACTGCATCGCGCGCTTTCAGATCTGCTTCTGAGGCCATTTGGAACGTTCTACCTTCCAATATTAGGAAGCCACTGGAGCTATGCATTTTAAAATCAAGATTGAAAACTCATTGCTTTAGAACTGCTTTTTGTGTTTAGTTCTTCTCCCGAACCTCCAATTAGCACAGTTGGCTGCTTACGGCGCAAGAAGTTCAACATACATGCACATGGAAGAGGAGATGATACTTTAAATATCTCCTGATATCGTGGTCTCTCTCATATGCTGCCTCTTTGTAACCGCAACGTCCCCGTGTCCCCCTGCAGCGGTTTACTACGTGGCGGCAGGACCCGGAGAACGAGGCAAGAAGGCGGACAAGCGCAAGGGCCTCAGCTTCACAGAGCCCAGCGCCACCCTCGCCTGCGTCTCGCTCGTGCTGGAGTGCGGACGGTGCGTTGTCCCAACGTCTGGTGGGCTTCGTTTGGTTAACTTTGCATTCGAGCTGGGCCGTCTACCTTGCCTGGTATACAGGAGGAGGGCGTAGGTTCGATCACGACCCTGACCATGCCTGGGTTCGATCCCGACCCTGATGCCTGCTGTATATTTGGAGTTTGCATGTTCTCTGTTCCTGTGGTCGCGTGGATTTTTCTCCGGGTCCTTCCGGTTTTTCCCTCCACGATTAGGAACATGCCTTTATATTGTTGTCCTTCCCCCACACCTCCGATTAGTATGGTTGGCTACGTTACGGTGTGAAAGAAGTTCAACATGGTAAAATAAAACTAGTAATTATTACTTGAGGAATCGATGACGCTCTAATCGATTACTCTATTTTTTGACAAAATTTTTGACAAAAAAAAAAGTCACGGGTGTTACCATGCGCGTGCCGCTGGACGCGAGATGATTGGCGGGCCTTGGTGATGTCACCGGCATCGTGAGCTATGTCACGCTGGGTGTGGCTTATTGGGGGTTTCCTGCCTTTGGGGAGGTGGGGAAGGTAGTCAGGGCTGCCACAATTGTTTAAAGGGGCCCTGGTAATCGACCACAAAAAAAGTAGTCAACTGCAATATTTAGTCCAGTGATCGAGTTCGGTGATAAACCGTCCCGGCTCTACTTTTAATTCCATCCGTGTAGTCTGTAAGACATTGTTGTAAAGTGTTTAATGTCTCGGCCGTATAGGTTAATCTTGTACCATTGTCTTAGCCTCACCTTTTATTCAATAGTTTAGAGTTTATTAACAAACTTTGATTTTAAGCTATGCACCTGTCCTAGCCCAAGCTTAGCTATTCATCTACGCCAATATATCTAATGATAACTTAACAAGCAGTGGTAGATGTAATGCCACCGACTTGTTCTTCAGACACTTGATCTCTGCTTTTCTTTTGTACAGGGTGGAGGCTGGGATCCTCAACTATCAGGTATGAAATTACTTTTGGCTCCACATGACTTATACAAATGCATCAATGGGTCATTGTTACACCATATTGTTCCCCATTATCCAATGGTGCTTTATTTCTTATGCTGGTGTCATGTTATGAGATTAATTAGGATTTCGCCCTTCATATGATTATGCATTTAATGATTGTACAGTGTTGTGCGGATGCAATTCGCAAAACAAAATCTGTAATTATGATTATGATGTTATATCGGATCTTGCACAGCTAGCAGTGCATCACATTGTGTCAAAGAACATCCCTTGAATATAGCATCAGAATAGCTTCATAATTCCCTTGACCGTTATCCATACCCAAGGGTGCAATTAAAAAAAAGTGCCTGTCGCATGGTCATTTGCGATGAAGCCAATGTTTGTTTTAAACCGCAAAAAGAATCTGAACTAAGCAACAAACCAAATTTAATGATGGGTTTCCTGAGGTATTCATTGGTGACCAGAATGATAACATTCACTCATTACACTTAAGATCCCAGTTAAAACAAGCACTGTTTGCTTAGATTTGAACCCCAGGATGTCATTGGTTGTGCTTTGGGGCGCTGCGGTGGCGAGATGTTTGCATTTTTTCTCTGTGGTCGCGTGGATTTTGGGTCCTCAAGTGTTCCCCTCCACATTTAGAAACATGCGATTTACAGCGTTTGGCTGCTATACATTTCCACATGATAAGCCACTTTATTTGCGCTAACGTTTATGGCTAGGTCGCTTCTGAAAGAGCTACATATCTCGGTGGGCATTCTGGTAAAATACAAAGTTTCGTTTTAGTTTAGTAACAACACTCTGAGCCACCCATCATTTCAGACCCAAAAATAAGGAACTTGAAAACATAACTACCCATAAAGAAGTAGCTGAATGACTCATGCTCATAATCGGGTTATTTACAAAATAAAGCTGTTTGCGGACGGGTGTTGCAGTGGTAACAATAATGCCTCGCAGCAAGAAGACCCAAGGTTCGATGTCCTATTCGGGAACCTTTTTGTCTGGAAGTCCACATGTTGTCAGACACCCTGTTCTGCAGGGTGTGAGTGTGCATGTGTGGAGAGCAGTAGTGTAGTGGTTAGCGCACTACGCTTCAAAATCAGCAACCGAGTTCGATTCCTGCTCACAACCAATAACAGTGGCGAATACCTGAATAGGTACTGGGCCCTCCCATAGGTCGACTCAGCCTTAAATGAGTTTCCTGGCGTGGTGTGTAACCATCAGCACTAGGGAGACCAAGGTGACTGGGCGTGGTGTTGGCCTACCACCCCCTCGTGTGCCCGTGACGATGGCTTTAATAGGTGCTCGCTAAAAGTACTTGCGCAAACAGTCTGTTGAAAGTTATACGGGGGATCTTTATCCTTGTGAATGGTGAGTAGGAAGGGCTTATGAGCAAGTAGGTGGGGCCAACATCATAGAGTGAGATTGTTTGCTGTATGGATGGTCCTCGTGACTGAGTAGGCGTGACTTTTTAAAAGTGCCAGCTTGCTCCGTGTCCTGCTCGAGTCTGCCAGAAATGTTGGTAGCTTGTGAAGAACACAAGCTGCATCCTCATGAAGTAGAAGTTTGTCAAAGTTAATACATTTTTTTACATAAACTATGTTCAGATCGGACATGCTCAGAAGTCCCATAATGTAACGAAAGGCTGCCAATTGGAAGAGCATCGTAGGCTTAAAATAAATCATAATATTGATGAGAAAACATTGCATTCAAGAAAAATTACGTCTCATATGTAAATATCCTTATTGTTTCAAATGCGATCACTTTTTGTTCAGGTGAATCCTGAATTCCGTAGGTCTTAAAGCCGGTGTTTTGTCTGTTTCAGCCACTTCAGAAGAAGTACGTGCGGGTGTCTGGAGAGGCCACGATCCGACACGTGGAAGCCTTCCTAAGGAAGAAACTTGGGCTGGATGCCTTCTGCGAGGTGAGCGGCGCTCACGTCATTTCACAACAGTTCCGCAATGTTACTGTTGCAAATCCAGGATTGCATTGAAGAAATTTTCGCAATGTAATTATTATTTTATTACAAACAAACCGGTGACATGTAACATGTTTCTAATGTGCTGTATTCAAATAAACTTAAATAGTAACTATACATAATTTGTTAATCAATATTTAAACTTTTAAATACTTTACTCAAGAATTGCCGTTACTCATCACACACCCTGTCACCATACACACTGCCACCACTCGCCACACACCCTACCACCACTCGTGATGGTGCGGGTCACCATAGGAGTGGTGGCTGTTTACTTATCACATATTTGTTTTTATTCACCCCAGTGAGATGATGGGCTGTATTGACTCAACTGCAATTTCAACTGATGACCTGATTATAAGTCAAGAACCTCAAGCCACAATGCCAACTATTACCAGACATTGCTACCAACCATATCACTAAAGTGCCACATTTGCTTATTAAAACGTTTTCAGCAACGTTTGTACCGTTTTACAAGTTAACATGATTTAAAAATGGGGTTCACGTCATAACAACACGAATACATGATGCCCTCACCTGCAAAATAAGTGTTGGTAAAAACAATATTATGCTTCTGTGTTCATGTAATTGTAGTGTACGGTACAGGATAATGAATGGGCTGTTTTTTGTGGTGCACTTTGAAGATGAGTTTTTTTTTGTAGGTTGCCGGTGTTGCCTCTGCTCTGTAAACCAGCTTCATTTGCGACGGTGTTGTCAGCTTAGTCAGTCGTGGTCTTTGTCACACCATGCAGGTCAAAATCACGTGCGGAGAGCGTGTTTTGGATCAGGATTGCACTTTAAGCGGCCTTCAGTATTCTGGAAACACCAGTGAGGTCAGTACTCTTTTATATATATACACACACCTTGACTTAAAGATTTCGTGACTGCAGGAATTCATATTCTTTGGGTCTTTCGGTAAAGCCACGTAGATAGAAAAAAAAATATCACGACGTTTCAATCGCAACAATCGTCCTCGGGTGAAAACATAGCGAGAGAGCTGCTGAGGCAGGATATTATAAAGGTTTGAGATGCCCACTACAGTAATTTTTGTTTCTTACTGTGGTTGTCCCACCTGATGATGGAAGCTTGTTTTGCTTCCGAAACGTCGTGATTTAATTTAGTTATTTATGTTTTTTTTATTCTTAATTTTTTTTTCACCTACGTGACTTTACCGAAAGAACCAAAGAGTATAGTTTGAGATGGTTGTAGCCCAAGGTTCATAAGCGAAGTGGGTGGGGCTAGTGAAGAAATTTGTATGTAAATGTAAGATCGGAGAGCTGCGCGACCTCCACGATGACGAAGCTGCGGAGGTGGCCCTTGTATTGTGAGAGATTAGCATGTCAATGTAAGATTGTAGAGCCACGGCCACATCAAGGAAAATGAGCAACGATGGCTGTGTTAGTGAGACATTTAACCTGTTAATGTAAAGGCATTTAACCTGTTAATGTAACACCAGAGAGTCGAAAATAACTACTGAACATCACAGGCAGTTATGATTTAACCTGGTTAATAACGTCCTTCCAGTGATTGCTCAGTTTGTACCCATCTTCTCGGTTGAAATTGTGTCTGTGTTTATATATCTGGATGGCTTCATGAACGAATCTTTGCTGATAGCCAGTGGGTTTGCAGAGTACTTTCGTCTTGGAAAAATCTATTTTGTGTTTGCCAACAGCATTAAAACAATGATCAGCCACGGTTGAGGTATTGGTCCTACCATGTTTCAGATCTGCCTTATGTTCACACACATAAGGAGATTGATGTGTAGACTGGAGGATTCTCAGTGAATAATGCATTTTATTAGTAAAAGCCTCTATTTGCTTCACTTGGAATTTGCGTTTACAGAAGTTGTTTTACATGCACATTTTGGTTTTAGCTTTTAATATGATGAGAAATGTGCAACAGTGAAGGCATTTCAGTGTGTGTTTGTTCAATGTGCATGAGTTGTTCATATTTGGTTTTGAAGTTAATATCATTACATTTGTAGTGGGTTAAATAACTAGAAGAGAGCTTCTCTGAGGCAACACCGTTTTTATTTAACAATTAACACTTAACACAGAAGGGTAACGGCCCCTCACACCCGATACTCTATGGAGGGTGCCCCTCCAGACTAATATGCCTCTCACTGGCTAATCTACGAGTCCTCCTTGAGTGAAGCTTGGATCTTCACTGGTATACAAGCTGGAGCCGACCCTTACCAGGGGTACGGCTCTGCCCTTGGGCTCTTCAGTCTTCAGGAGGCTTCTTGTCTTGAGCTGGACGACGACTGACCCGGACCGTTCAGGGGTCCGGCTTTTATGCAGGGCCGTGGCTCGCCCCGGCCACACCTTCCTTCCCGAACCTTCGAGAAGGATCTGGGGATGATGTCATCCCCCAGCCCCCCTCCTGGGGTCTGTCGCTTTAACATACCGTTCCATAGGGTAACCGTTGGGCCTTATGGCCCATAGTCTCTCTTCACTAGGGCTCAGCCCCTCTGTTGCCCCCTATCGGCATGTGGCCGGTACTGCCGGCAACTGCATGGGAACGGCGCATCTTAGCCCAATAACACCGTTACACATTTACTTTGCAGGAGACTGATGTCCAGCCTATTGTATCTTACATATAACCACACGGATGCGTTCGGTGATGTGCGCACGTAACGCGCTTGGTGCTAAACGTGATATTTTTCACAATGTCAAGTTTCCATGTTTGGTGGTTGTTCTGTCACTTACACAGCTGTTTCTCTTCTCCAGGATGACCTGTTGATTCTGCACTACTGTCTGGCTGCACCTCAGCAAGACAACTATTACTCCGATTAGAAAGAGTACCCAGTTTGAAAGGTCTAGGCGCTGTAATATTAAGCGACTACACTTTGTTTTGACAGGACCACGCAGTGTAATATATTGAATGGGACGTAATGGGACCTGGTTGGAAGCGATGCTTTCTATTTATGGCTTTTACAGCCTCCTGTGCTTTAGACGCAGAATATAATTGCGTGATGTTAATGCAGTGGTTGAAATGTCATTACATGCTCTGCTAAACAGTGGGAAACACCCAAGGCTTCCTACAAAGATTGTTTTTTATTGTGTTTGATATAGGTGCCTTCCCCAGATATTTCATTGGAGTTCACAGTGGTTTTTGCTAGTGATCATTCCCACAACTGTGCATATTAACATTTGCATTGGTGATGGCTTTTTTGCTGTTAAACAGTAGGTTTAAGTTATCCGTCACATAATGCCTGTGCCAAAATTGAAAATCCTTTCCACCCACTGTTTGTCAACATTTATGACAACATTACACTTTCTGGGTAACATTTTGTTTTTCTTTTGCCCTCCCCCCCTTGAAAATATTTTGTCTAAATATTCAGGTGATATTTTGGCATTTCTGCACCAATGCTCGTTTGAAATGTGTTTTTTTTTTAAATATACAGGGTGTCCATATATATGCATTATTAAAGCATTATAATTAGACAACTTTTATCCAAGTTGATAATATTCTGTTCACGCAGTTGGTCGTTCAAATGTGTTATCATTAAAGCAGTTACTTCCGTCTTAACCGTCACATCTCAACTCAAGCATTTGGTGATCCGGAATTGATATTTGAGAGCTTATGGTGTTTAAGAACATCTCGGGTGTGATTGACACTACAATATAATCCTGTCTAATTGTAATTATTTAATCATGAAAGGAACCTGTATGGACACCCTGCAGGATAAATCACAACACACATTGTTATACCGCTTACGGTCAGGAGAATGTGGACTTGTGTTTGCTTTTTCTTTGCAGAAGAGGCTTAAAATTTACCATTCGCTCCAATTAGTGCGTTAATCTCATGAAAATTATAATTCCTATCCGAATAAACCATAAGTCAACAATTCTGCTCTGGTACAAATGTACACATTTAAACTATTCTTTTCAAAGTAAGACACAGTAAATTGGAGAACTTGATATGCTGTAATATAATTTGTTGTACAATATCAACGTGTTTTTGCCTTTTTTGTTAATGCAATTTGTGCACGGTTTGTGTTTACTGAGTAGCTGCTGCATGGCATGGCTAGTGAATAACATAGCCTCCACAAGGCCAAGCACACGATCGGGGAAAAACACATTTCAAGAGTCGCAGTGGCATCTTTTGGCCCAACCATCGAACAAAGACGGTCACTGCATGGCACACTTTCAGATGTGCTGCAGCCATCCGTAATCCTCTTCCCATATTTGAACGCCACTGGAGCTCTGTGCACTTTTCCGAAAGTATTTTACTGAACAAACTATTCGGGTACATAGTGGCATGCATGGATGCACCTTTAAATTTAAATTGAGAACATGTATTTAGAACTGCTTGTTGTGTTTAGTTTGTTGTCCTTCCCCCGCACCTCCGATTAGCACGGTCGGCTACACACGGTGCGAAATAATTTCAACATATAAGAGTGGTTAAAACAAAGTTTTTCTTGCAACTTTGCTCGGCACAACTTGTTTAAAATGTACACCTCATATCAGTTCACACTCACGGTGACAAGCCACTCCAAGAGTGTACAACCCCTGGAGCATGACTTTATTTAAATGGTGGGAGGGGGGTCATACAAAAACTCACGACACATTAAATGTCAAACTTTAAACATGTTCAAATGCTAAACTGAATGAGAAGAAACTAAACTACTATGTTTATTTTACCAGGTAAGGCCAACGGAGCTACATCGCTCTTTTTTTAGTAGCGACCTGGCCACAATTATAGCTCAACGAAATAGCTTATGTGGAAATGTATAGCAGCCAAAGACTCTAAATACATGTTCTTAAATGTGGAGGGGAAAACTGGAGGGCCCGGAGAAAAATCCACGGGAAGAACATGCAAACTCCATATATACAGTACAGGCGTTCTGGTCGGGATCAAGCCCACGGACCTGTATACCAGGTGAGGTAGTTTACATCTCACCACCGTGGTGTCATAGAAGCTCTATATAAGAACGGGAGACACAGCAGAGCCTCACCATTCTGGCGAATTGCCCGATGCTGGATGCAATTACCAGCGAAACGTCGTACTCATTGTAAATTTTGTGGTTTCACGCTTCAACACACCGGTGGGCTAAAGCAGTGAACTATTTGTCTTTTGTCAACGTGACACTTTTTTTACTGATTGGCCGTGTCGGGTGGTGGAGGGTTACGACACATTTATAAATAACGCGATCTAAACCCAAAAACGTTGATTATGAATAGAAGCAGATGTTGGTGTTGACAAAACATCTGAAGGAAGAATCCTGAGAAAGTATTTCGACTGTGTGGCTTTGCTGTATCGGTGTTTATCATGCATTTTGCTGGAGCTTTTGGCCCCTGCCAAGCCCGTCGGTTAATTTCACTTGAATTTAAGTGTGCATTTTTTTTGTTGTCTAGCCCCATCACGAATACTGCACTTTGTGTATTAAATAGATTTGGCTAAATTTAGCAGGGCTGATCCTTCGGCAAGCAGCGATTGGCTGAGCCAACCCCGGCGCCAATGAGTTTTCAATTCGCTGGATCTCTCGCTGAACTTTCGTTCCTGTCCATTGCGAGTGGGGTTCGTGGGGGGGGGGGGGGGGTGGAAACGCGACGAGGATCGCGAGGAAGCTGCCCCCTAGTGGACGCGTTGTGGAAGCCGGCCTGATGGACGCGAGCCAGGGGCTGGGGTGGAGCAGGAACACGGGAGGGAAGGGAAGTGGGGATTGGAATCCCATGTGCTATACCTGGACTCCGGATGCACCTCGACAACATGCAGTGGTCCATGATATGAACTATTTATTTATTTTACTGCGTAAGGCCCCGACGAGCTATATAGTTATTTTCGTCAGAAGCGACCTGGGCTACAAGCGATAGCTTAACAAAGTGGCTTATTGTGGAACTTTATAGCAGCCGAATACTCATGTCGAGAAATGTGGAGGGAAAAAACCGGAAGACCTGGAGAAAAATCCACGGGACCACGGGGAGAGAGAGACACGCAAACCCAAAATATAGAGCAGCCATCATAGAGAATCGGGATCTAACCCACGACCTCCTACATACCAGGTGAGCGAGTTAACATCTCGCCATTGCCGTACCAACTTCTGGGCTTTGCATGCTGCTTGGTACAGCATTGGGCAGCTGGGGATGCAGGTGCTGTGGCGCGATAAAGTTAGTCCGTGATGTATGGGTGGCATTGTGCATGCATGCCAATGGGAAGTGTCGATTCCTTGATCGCTGCATGATTATCGCTGCATCGATTGCAAATGTAGTGGTGGTGTTGACGTGCCCCGACAGTGATGGATCACGGGGCGGCACGGGGCGCGGGGTTGGGCACGCGATGTGGGCGTGGTTTGGACGCGCGCGCCGGTGGTGAGGCGCGCTGACACGAGGTGCGAAAAGAGGATCGTAGCCAGCGCCCAGTGATTGGTCAAATGGGATGGGTGCTCTCAGCGACGTCCGCAGGAGGTGCTTAAAGGGGGACGCGCGAGAGCACTCGGGGTTGTTGTTAACCAGTTGAAGATCGAAGACGGAGTGGAGGAGGTAGTGGCCCGAGACCCCTAGTCCCGTCGTCCTTGTCAGGACCGGGGTCCTGTGAGGCTCGGAGTCGAGACTGTGGGACCCGTGGTCCGACGCCCGTGTAGGTCGGGACGGTGGGACCCAGAGTCGAGACGGACACCCTGGCCGGGTGTGTTCCGAGAGGTTACGGGGCGTAAGAGCCCGGGTCGGTGTAGCCAGGAGAACTGTGTGGGTTAGGCTGGTGTTAGCCACCCGTGTAACTAAGTGGGTGTTAGTCACCCGTGTAACTATAAGTTGGTGAAATAAAAGAGTGTGCTAACCGTGAAGTCGTCTCCCGCCGAGTTACTACTTTACAACTGGCGTCAGAAGTAAACCTGTCTTCAAGAAGAATGGACACAAGGAAGACTACCCGTACCCACGAGCGAGATCGGGAAGACGACGGCGTACCGGAGACACCAACCTCGGGAGGAGAGGACGAGGAGTTGCCGTCGATGCAGCACTTCGCGGCGATGGCCGATGCTCCGCTTGCCTCCGACACCGCCTACAGGACGCACACTCCCGCCTGGCGGAGTTGCTGCTCGCCGCCGCTGCAATTTTGGCGGAAATCTCCGTTCCAGCGGGCGGAGGGACGGCTGCGGGGTTGGAGGAGGGAGCGCGGCTGGAGGGATCCCGCCAGAAGGCGCTTCGCGCCAAAAGTTTTGAAGTTGGCGCCGTTTTTGAGGGTCCGCCACCAATTGGCGGGAAGCACGGACACCACGTGGCCGGAGATCTCCACACAGCGCAGCCCGTGTCATCGGCGCGCGCCGGAGCTCTCCATTATGCGCCTGCAGACGGAGCCGACATTTTCTACAACCACAGCGGCGCGCGGGAAAATCGTTCCGACGACGACGACGACCGAGTCCTCCAGCAACGATTGCCCGCGCTGTCGGCGTTCAAGGCAGACAGGGGCGACTGGGGAGCCTTCCAACGAAGGTTCCTCGCACATCAAGAAATGTCGGGGTGGTCCAACACCACTGCTCTGCGCGCGCTGCCAGCGATGCTCGACGACGACGCGCTTGCAGCCTTCACATCCGCCCCAAGGTCGTCCCGCTCAACGCTCCAGGCCGCGCTACACCTAATGGCTAAGGTGTTCGGGCCGCCCTCGACCTGTCGCCACCAATTCTACGATCGGCGAAAGGTGGTTGGAGAAACAACGCTCGCCTATCGCACGGCGCTGCTCGCCTTGGCGGACGCAGCTTTTCCCCGCATGGACAAGGAGGGGAAGGACGCCATGGTGACGGAGCAGCTGCTGGCGTTGGCTCACGACTTGGGAGTCCCCATCAATATGGCGGACGAAATGGACATCTGCTCCCTGGGGATTGCCACGAGTATTCACGCTTACGAAGTCCTCAAGCGAAAGCCGACGGTCATCTGCGCATCGGCGGGGAACGGGGCACCGGCCGCCACGGTCGCCGGGCCTCTGCCTGCTGCGCCTCGGGAGGAGGCCTTCACCGTATCGAGACCGGGGGAGTGGAGAACGGGAGGTCGTTCGCCCACACGTTCATCCCGCAAGCTGGAGCAACCGAAAACTATGACGTCCCTCGTCTGCTACAACTGCGGCCTTCGGGGCCACGTCGCGTCCGGGTGCCGGGCCCCGCGTCAGCGCGCCACGGGACCACGTCCGGACGACGACCAGGGCCACAAGTCATCCCAGCTAAACCTGGCAAGTCGCGGCACCTCACACGCTCGGTCCACATACACGGCACGTTCGGGTCGCCGCTTGGCGGTGGGGGGACCGCGTATGGGCACCGGGGGTTCGGTTCGGCGAGAGGGGTCCGTACACGGCCCGAAAGCAGTCGAATGGTCCGAATTGGCCCACAGGATAGTGGCTGCGTCGGCCGGGTCGTCCGTGGTAACGGGGTTTATTGACGGGGTTGAGGTCCGGGTGCTTGTGGACACGGGTGCGTCGGCCACTATCATTTCGGACCTTATTTATAACATTCTTCCCGTCCAATGTCGACCCCTTCTGCCGGTGGACGTACCATTTTACGCGGCGAACGGGGGATCCTTGGGAATCATCGGCCAGATTCGGGCGACTATTTGTATTGGCGATATAAAATTGGCGGGTCCTATTTTTGTATCATCATCGCTGGCCGTTCCTTGTTTACTAGGTACGGACTTTCTGTCTAAAATGCCCATCAAAATTCTCATAGATCAGGCCTGCATTGAGCTTCCATCGGGACGGCGGGTTGCGTTTTTGACGAGTCCTACTAAGATACGCACGGTTTGTGCGACGGTGCAGGCGCTGGCAACTCAGACTGTACGGGTGCCCCCGGGATCGCAAATGTTGGTACCCCTTCGGTTGAGAAAACCCCTCGGGGTAGATGCGGGGGCACAGGGAGTTCTGTTGGGGCCGTCTAACAGAGCTAAAGGGGGCCTCGACTTAGCGGTAGCTCAGACCATGGTGAGGGGGGACAGTGAGCCGTTCGTTATGGTCCTGAATACGGAGTCGCGGCCGGCCGTGATTACGCAGGGAACGGTGCTGGCTCACGCCGCGCCGCTACCCGTCGAGGAATAGCTCGTTGCTCACGCGGATTCGAGTGCCGATACGCATCCTCAAAGTGAGGAGGGGACAGAGTGGTTGGACTCGTTGTGTGCCGGGTCTAGTAACTTGTCCAGTGTGCAGTTGGGAGCATTG